GGAAGCAAAGTGATTTCCCGCTCGATCCCCTTGTGCATAAGCCTTTTGCGTGCGCATAAGGGGGTTTGCCTGGAGAGTGTAGGGGTACCCCAGCGGGGAACATTCTAATGGTAAAACTCACATACCCTTCCCTCGGGGATGTACGTGCATACGGGCAGGTTGCTCCCACGCAACCGGGGCACCCTGGTCGCGAGTGGCCAAACAAAGTCATGGTTTTCTCCTTCCTCACATATTCTTCGAAGTTTACATCAACCTGTTCATTGGTTCAAACTATACCTACGAGTACTCATAAACCCAAGCTGTGTCCTCTCTACTTACTTACGAGAACATGATTTTGAAAAGGAGAGAGCTTGCATTGGATGGCCTTCAACATTTCTTGCTTTGGCCGTTCATCTGAAAACAGAGTTTGCTAAGAAGTCAATTTATCTAGTAAACCACGTGACTACATATAAGGAACTCCAGTCCAATCGCTTTTACGAAATACAGTAAGTTTATCGATTAGACCCTATCATTCTTGAATAATACAGCCGCATTGGAGATTATGATGGTAAAACAAGAGACCAATGTAAAAGCATGGCATGTCGAATTGCCAATGGCAGAGAATGGAAAGCAAACGCAGTGCTGGTGATACCTGAAGGAACCGCAAAAACATAAAAGTGTTCTGCTTCTGCTCAAGGGATCACAACATCTGTCATCCCCGAATCGGAAATTTGCATCATTTTTGACAAAGAAATCATTTTAAGAACTTAGGGGTCTGAAATGGTCTGATATGTGAGTAGTAGTCAACCAAGAAATCTCGTGTTTGTTGTTCCGCAAGTGAGCCATTGGTGGTACAGTTTGAGCACAAAAATTGAGCCGGGAACTGGACTTTTGGGAACTTTGGATCCTCAGTGTCCCGACCGTGAAGACGCGCATTCACGATGTTGTGTGCTCGCCATAGATACATGATCACATCTTCTGGATTCTTCACCTTGAACAAGATGATTCATATATTGAAAAGCGAGTGCATGAAACGAACCTGGGCTTCCATTGGAAATGTAGCTGTGGTCATTTTGTGAAAGTGTTCACGACAGTGTAGACAACCAAAGAACGATGTGATCCAAGCGCGAATAGCCTGCAGCGGTTCTAATGGTTTGAAGTCGGTTACTGCAA